CCGTTAGAGGGAGGGGGGGATGGGGATTGGGGAGGGGAGGGGGAGGCTAAAAAACATTATAAATACCCCTTTTTTCATAAAATATCACACTCAAAATCTCAAATACTCAATCCATCTCTCATTCTCTCAAATCTCAATCTATCATTCTTAATTTCTTAATTTTTATCAATCATTCTTAATTTCTTAATTCTTTTCTATCTTTTTTAAATATATTATATTTTAATATATAAAATTTCGAAATTATTTGAAATTTTCGAAATTTAATATATCTTTAATATCAAAAAAATATATAATTTATATTTTAAATATATTCTCTATTATTTATTGAAATTTTCGAAATTTTAATATATAAAATTTCGAAATTTTTTAAATTTTTTCAAAAGTAATATATTATTTTAATATCAAAAAAATATATATTAAAATGTCGAGGGAGTCCGGTAGGTCCGTGGATATGGGCGACGTGAACCAAAGATTGAGTAAAGGCAAAGCTAAAGCCACCTCCGACAGTTCGACCTCACGCGGACGCGGTTCTCGAGGAAGACACTCTGTCTCTTCCTTTCCTACTATCCCCGATCACTTAATCGGGGACGCTATGACGGATGAAGAATTCGACCAGATTTATTCTGGTAGAGGGGACGCTAATCTCCCCACTCTTGATAGTGTATTCGAAGATCTTGATGAAGCAGGACTGGATAATCTGGACGGGGACGAGGAGCCTACACCACAGAACAACGACGTCGGCGTGGAGGCAGTTGAGCCCGAGACCTCTCGAGTTCTGGACAAAGGTAAAAAAAATATAAATCAAATTTATTTGTTTATCATTTTGATAAAGACACAAAAGATGGCATAGTTTATGAAACTTGTAAACATTGCGGGACCGTCATAAAAATGGGAGTTTCCGGCGGTTATGGCGGTCCGGAAAAACACCTAAGGTCGAGGCATCCCGTGGAGTACGCCAAATACGAGGCAAAAAAGAAGGGACGACAAGAAGTACAAACCCAAATTTCTCGGTTTGCTAACAGAGGTAAGGGCGGCCTTTTTGCTTATAGCGACGAGCAAAATAAGCAAAAAATGGCCGAAATGATTTGTGAAGAAAATTTGCCATACATGTTTTCTGAAAAACTTGGTTTTATTGATTATTGTCAACAGGCATTAAACCCTCAAGCACGAGTTTTTCAAGAAAAACAATTAAACGAGAAATTATTCGCCAGTATAAAATGGAAAAAATTAATTTGGCAAATTTTTTTCTCAATTTTAATTCTCGTGTTGCTATTTGTTCTGATATTTGGGGTGAAACTTATCATAATTTGTCTTATATAGGTGTTACTTGTCATTGGATAGATAGTGATTGGATTATGCATAAACGTGTTCTTGCATTTCGTGATTTCAATGTTTCAGAGTATTCTGCGGGAATATAACTTATCGGAAAAAGTTTTTTCATTTGGTTTTGATAATGCTACTAATAATACTGCTGCTATTCCTAGACTTAGAGAAATTTGCCCACCGTCTACGACTATGGGTAGATTTCTGCATCAACGGTGTGCCTGTCATGTTTTAAATTTATGCGTTCAACAGGGACTAGAAGCTATGGGCGGATTTTTGACAAATATTAAAGAAGGAATTAAAAAAATTTGGGGGGCTCGTCTTATTTCGAGGTCCTGGAAGATGTTCTGTAAGTCTAAGGGTAAAAAAGAAATAAGTTTTGCCAGAGATATCAACATTAGATGGAATAGTACTAGCAAATTTATTGCACAGATCCTAAGATATAAAGAGGAACTTGCTGAATTTTTTAGGGATGAACTTCGTATAATCATTAATCCTTTTGAATTTGCTATTGTTGAAAAATTGAATGCCGTATTAGAAGTTTTTAATAATGCAACTCTTACTTTTTCCCATGTTTACCAACCAACTACAAATACATTTTTTAAAGAGTGCATTACAATGCAACATGTTTTCGTGAAAGTATGGCTGATCCAGATTTGTACCCTTATGTCTCTCCTATGAGAGATAAATGGTGTACTTATTATTTGTACATTCCTGATATTTATAAAATAGGTATTATTTGTGATCCACGATTTAAGATTGAAAATTTTAAAATTCTAATTGAGTATTACTACAGTTGTTTTTTAGATAAAAATAGTTATTACTACAGCTATTTAGTAGAATGGAAAAAATGAAAGAGATAATGCTATAACTCTTTTTGAGGATTTGTTTAAGGAATATCAAGGGTTATACGGTACTGTACAAGAAGAAACAGTACCACCTCCGCCCCCGAAATCAAAAAAAGGTTTTTCCGGAATAGTCGGTGGCCTTCTTGCAAAGAA